AGTTGGATGTGATCTGCAGAGGTGGCATTGATGAGTGGTGACCACATTGATGACTTGGAGACTATCTGCAGGGGTAGCACTGATTCACTGGAAGGCATATTGATGAGTTGGCAAGATATTGGTGTTGCGCTGATGAGCGCTGGACTCAGGGAAACTTTGAAACACTTTGTATCCATATTTTTGATAATATAAGCTGTGAAACTCGGTTCTCTTCTTCTCTACCTATTATCAGACTACTGTTCGTTGTGTGTGGGAGAACGATGCATGGCATGTACACACTTGCGTGAGATGGTCTCCAGGACCCATGCAATGAAAGACAATGCCACCCAATTGCGAAAGAAATGAAAGCACTTGCAAAGAGATAGAGACCAGAGGAGAGAGAAAGAAGAAGAAGAAGAAGAAGAAGAAGAAGATGTACACCAGCAAGACCAATGACAATTCCCCCCTTCTCTCCACCTTCCTCCTCCTCCACTTCGCCAATCTGATTCTTCTCCCAATAATAATAATAACAATGAGTGGATGAACCAGAATCAATATCTGAAGTTCCCTCTCACTGCTGACTCAACAACAACAACAACAACAACACCAACAACAAGTCCACCATAGCTATGGCTTCCCTCCTTCTTCCTCCTCTCACATGCCTAGGCTATGATGGACTACTGAGGGCCTTGCCCTCCTGTCCAAAGGACAACCCAAAGCAGCTATGGTGCTGCGCTCCCGTCCAAAGGACAACCCAAAGCAGCTATGCCGCTGCTGACTAAGCCGCCATGCCTGACTCTGCCTCGAGCTTCCTTGGTGCCGCACTACCCCAACTGGGGCCTTCCAGATGCAGCGCCCAACAAGGTGATGAAGATGGTGTCCACCATAGCCAGGTAGGTGCCTCGCCACTCTCCTCCTTCGTCCCCTTCTTCCTCCTCCTCAGGCTGGGCTGCTCGCCATAGCCAGGCTGAGCGCCAGCTGCCCTTCACCTCCAGGCAGCGCTGTACCAGTCCAGCGCTGTGCTCCAGCAGCATGTCGCCAATCCTTGCATACCGCAAATGAGGAGGAGCTACTTGCTCCTCCGGAAGATATAGCGGCCTACTGGCCTCTTGGGCGGTGACTTCCTAGGTCGAGCGGCCTCCCAGCAACCAGTACTTCCTCCCTTTCGGAGGGAAACATCATTGCAGGCTCTGCTATCCTCCGGACGGGCCCTAGACCCGGGCTACTTGGACTGGTACCGGCCTACCTCTAGCCTACCGCTACTGGGCCTCTAAAAATGCCAACTTTTTGTCTTCTTCTGCTCGGCCTCCAGTACCCGACACTTCTACCACTACTTCAGTGGTACCGGCTTACCTGATACTTGAATGTTTTTCCCCTCTGCTCTAAGTGTCGCGGGCCTATCCCCGCTACTCGAGTGTTTTCCCCGCTGCAACCCTCAAAGTCACGGCCACAGGTAGTACCGGCCCTGCGGGGCCTTTCAACCAACAAGTACCCTTGCGGGTCACACACACACTCAGCCGACAAGCACTCAGACAGGCATGCAAACCAGCAGGCACACACACACACACAGACATGGAAATCACAGCAGAATGCGGGAATCTCAGCAAGGCATTCATTCCAGCGGCAAATCCCAGAAATCAGCAGTGTTCTCAGTCTGTGTTTTTGCCGGGTCATTACAGAATACAAAAAGGCATTACTGCAGTGACTAACCACTTGTGGCCCTTTTGCTGTCAATATAAAGATCATGAGATCAAACTTCAAATCCTTATTGGGAAAGATTAATACAGGAATGTTAGGGGCTCCCTTCTTTCCAGAAAAAATAAAAGAAAAGAAAATGAATAACTGCCATTAACTGCAGTTACTGACCATTTGTGGTGTTTTTTATCGGTGTGTGTTTGTGTTGACTGTAGCTTTGTGTTGGGCAAGGATTACGATCCAGACAGAGAGAGGGCAGAGAGAAAGAAACTTGAACGGAACCTAAAGCGTGAGGCCAAGGGAGCAGCAAGGGAGCTCCGCAAGGATAACTACTTCATGGCAGAGGTGAAGTTGAGGGAAAAAGCAGCATTGCAGGAGGAGCGCAACGAGAAGTACAAGAAGGCACTCGGATTTCTAGAGTCACAAGAGGCGGCATTCAAGTCCGGACAATTGGGACGTAGACCAGGAAAGAAGAGGCGGAAATAACGATGAGTTTGTCAGGTGCCGTTACAGCAATTTTGCTGCCCTTGCTGCTGTCACAGCCACCACCACCCCATCTCTCTTCCTTTCCTTCCTACCCGTCCTACCCTTTTTTGTAAACCACCACCACCACCACCTCCTCCTCCTCCTGCTCCTCATATCCTGCTTCATCCTTCTCGTCTTCCTCTCCTTTGCTTCTGCTGCTATCCAGCCTATGTGGCTGACTGCAGCACACGTCTAATTTGTCAATCGACAGATCGGGAGTTGGATTCCTGATGGAATCAGATGGCTACAATGAGGTTAGGAGCTAAGTACCCCTGACTCCTGCCACCAGTTTTTCTTATGTACATAAAGGAGGAGAAGAGGTGTCTTCTGCTGCTGTGGCTGCTACACTGCTGGTTATTATTTTCCTCCTCTCGTCTGGTGTTTCTCTTTGGCCTGCTCTTTGTGGGCAGAAAAGGCATAACCTGATAACACGGATTTCCCCTTCTCTTTTTGAAGTGGCACTTATTTGTGTTATGCGGAAAAGCAGTTGTCCTTTCAGTTTTGTCAGATGAGTTGCATTCTTAAAGTCGTTGGTCTCATAGTCTTTGTTATATGCACACACTAGGGAGGATTCTCACTAGTTTTGCTTTTATGCATTTTGAACCATCCGATGTCTTTATGCAATTTGAAGTTTTCGAACTACAAGGGATAATCCCCCACCGAAACTGTTGCGAATAATCTCCACAAACTTCTCACTTGCGGTCGCATATGGTAGACAAGCTTGGGGCCTTCTCGCGAGGCTGTTAAACGAACTTCTCAGCTCACACTTGCTGTTTGCTGAACAAGGCTGCTATTGCTTGTCCAGAAGAAAAAAAGTCCCCACCTGTTGTGATCTCAATCCTTTAGATGACAACAACAACAACAACAACAACAACAACAACAACAACAACAATTTGGGGGAGGGAGGGAGGGGGGGGGCACAGCGCACCGCATGGAAATCCATGTGGCGAGTTGTGACACATCTTTTGTTGTTCTTCTACTGAGAGAGAGAGAGAGAGAGAGAGAGAGAGAGAGAGAGAGAGAGAGAGAGAGAGAGAGAGAGAGAGAGAGAGAAAGAGAGAGACTGCAAGGAATATGAGCGAGAGCGATAGAGAAAAAAACAAGTTGCAAAATCACGAAGTAGTCCAGATAGTCATGTACCAAGCAGAGAGCACAATGCACCAAGATTCCATCCACATAAGAGCAATACAAAGAACTCAAGTGCCAATGCCGACACTCGTGGTCACATCAACACTGTATCAGTGTCGCTCCTACTGTTTGGCGTTCAGCTCCCAGCCTACTCTACCAAGCTTATCTAGCCTATCTACGTCCAGGTGACTGGATCACACCGAGGTCGAAGACCAATGTACGTGACGTCAACACAAATGCCGACCACCAGCATACACCAGGTATGTTCTCTCTCCTCTCGTCATCACCCCTCGTCTCCCCACATCATGCGCCTCCTACCCGAAGACCACCTTTGCCATCACCTGCCTGCGCCCCTGCAGCCCGGCTATGTTGTGACACGTCTTTTGCTGTTCTTCTGCTGAGAGAGAGAGAAAGGGTGTGCCTCCATGCGCAGTGTGGAAATCCATGGGGTTGTTGTGACAAGCCTGTGTTTTCTTTTTTTGTTTGTTCATTCATTCTTTTCCTGAGAGCAAGAGAGGAAGAAAGGGTGTGCCTCAGCATGCCACATGGAAATCCGTGTGTATGTGGCATGTTGTGACGGGTCTTTGTTTTTTTTCCCGCTCTATTTCTTCTTTGTCTGAGAGAGAGAGAGAGAGAGAGAGAGAGAGAGAGAGAGAGAGAAGACAGGCAACAGGCTGCCTCAGCACGTGTGGTGAGGCTCCCTTTTTGTAAGGTTTGTTTTGTACTTTTAATTTGTATTCTCTGTTTTCATTTCTTTTTGAAAGATAGAGAGAAAGGGTGTGCACACAGATCGTCTACAGGCGACCAGTTGAGTGACAAGAACTTGTCTGGTAGGTCTTCCACCAGTGGTCCAAGAAGTGGGCGCCTCCACGCTGAAAAACACTTTCAGTCTACCAGTACCTCGATATTCTAAGTAGTAGGGGAACTGGTGGTTGAAGTGCTGGCGGTGAGGTGGGAGTGGCAGGTTGTACGACGATGTGTGCAGTTTCTTTTTGACAAACCTGTCGCACATTTCATGCCAGTTGCATCACAAAGTGTTGGAATATCATCAAGTGTTCACTTGTTTGAAAAGGGGGTGTTGGTTTCCCTCCTCCTTTCACCTTGCTGGCAATGCTGGGCAAATTTCTTTCGTTCTTTCTAGGTGCTGCTCCCTCCTCCTTTGGCCTCACTGGCTAAATTTCTTTCTTTTTAGGTGCTGCTCCAAGCGACTTCAGTTCGGGGTCATAGATGCGCTTGCACACCTCAGAGCTCCACAGTATTGGCGGACTTCATATTCCATACCTGCATGAACTGCCGCCAAACAAGGCATGAGCGCGGTAGGTAAGTCGGCGTGTCTTTTAACATCCAGATTGTTGGTCAAATTTGATTGTCGCTAAACTAGGCTTTTTTGAAATTGCAATTTGTGTCCGTGACCTAGTTCAATCAACCGAACTGTTTGGGCTAATTCCAAATGTTCTGTCTAATTGTTGGCTCAACCACATACTTACCAGCTATTTGTGTCCGTGTCCTAGTTCAATCAGCTGAACTGTTTGGACTAGTTCAAAATGTTCGTATATGTATGCTTTTTGGACTTTTTGGGAAGCTGGTGTACTTACCAGCACATGTAGAGAACCTAAGTCCAATATGGACCTAACACACCTGAAGCGCACTGCAGACTCTATCTTAAATGGAAATGAAAAAGATGAGAGCAAACGGTGGAACCGGGGAAACATTCGAATCTCTTTTCGAATGGGGCAGAGGGCTCGTCGTACCTTTATTTACAGCAGCAGCCTAGAAATCGGCGCACAGCGCAGCGCTGGTCTGGTTGTGTACACAGTCAGCAGACGGGAAGGGAGCCTAAATCAATGGACTCGAAAGAGCACATCACATACTTGAGCAGAACGAATCCATCGGCGATCGGGTGAGACTAAGCAGTCGTTGGCTGCTTCAACATCTACCGACTTCATGCCCTTTGGAAATCGATTAAATTATGCCTGAGAGAAAGGTCTGAAACGGTTTTCACCTTTCTGCAGTTACAGGTGCGGGCCCTAGAGTTCGATCCCCAGACCTCACTTTGCCCATGTACAGTATCGAGTCGACCCCCGAGTGTTTGAACCCGTGACCTGTGTTTTGGTAGTTGTTTGTCGTCTGTCATAGGTCTGTGTATTGGTAGGGGTTCGATCTGCAGGTCTGTCAATTAGGAGTCACAGCTCTGTAGAGGTCGTAGCTGTGGGTATTCTGAAAGGTCAAGGTCGTAGCTGCTACAGTCCTGAAAGGTCAAGGTCGTAGCTGCTACAGACTCGAAAGGCCAAGTCCACAGACTTCCGGAAGGTCCGGAAGTGGCCTTTCGAGGTTGCCGGTTGCCTGTCAGAGGCAAGTGGGCAAGTGGTGAGCCCAACTGCGTTACGTCGGCAGTGCGACTGCATCGAATTGGCAGTGCAAAGCCATGCAGTCAGTGGTACCGGTCCAGCCAGTCCCAGTCCAGTCAAGCAAGTACCATGAGGGACTGTGTGCACCATGGGCCCGGTGGAAAGGGGCAGACCAACGAGTTACAGAAGTATAAATCAAGAGGCCGCGCCCAGCCATTCATTCATTCGCTGCGTAAGCCATATGGAAGCGCTGCCCCAGCGCCTTGTGCGAGGTGGTCTGCAGAGCGCCCGAAGTTGAACTGGGCTGGAAGAGGATAGCATAGCCATAGTAGTAGTAGCGAGCGGCCATATCCGCCATGGGTTAGAGATAAAGGTTAGTGTGTGTGTGTGTGCGTGAGACAGACTATGCGTGTGTGGAGTATTCAAGGTGATCCGGAGTGGAGTACGTGCGAACGGTGGTGTTGGACGCAAAGACGAGAGTTGGGTGTACGGGCGCTGTTGCACCATAGCTGGATGAAGCGAGTTTGCATCTGAACTATGTTTTTGGTTTCCATATCTCGGAGCTTTGAGTGGGCGCCTGGCGCCAGTGTGAATTGCTATCTGCTTGCATGTATGCGAAGTGAAGAAGAAAGCGAGTCTGATTGCATTGGTATCGGAGCTGGTTCCCGTTACTCCACGTGCCATCGTCGTTGTCAGCAGGAAGGAGACACGCGCCTGCTGTGGGCGCCATAGTTGAAGCTGCGCCATCGAAGGAGGAGGTCCACCATAGTTGCACCACTGAAGGAAGGTGCCGCGTACCTGCAAAGAAGACAACGACGAAGAGAGAGAGAGAGAGAGAGAGAGAGAGAGAGAGAGAGAGAGAGAGANGAGAGAGAGAGAGAGAGAGAGAGAGAGAGAGAGAGAGAGAGAGAGAGAGAGAGAGAGAGAGAGAGAGGAGCGATAGAAGATTGTTGTGTGGTCCAAGGAAGAAAGGAAGCGGCCATAGCCGCGGAGCTCGGGCACGGTGGTAGAAGAAGGAAGACAAGTAAAGAAGAAGGGAGAGGCGAAGGATGAGAAAGAAGCCATAGCCGAGGAAGGAGAAGGGAGAGACATCGAAGAAGAAGGAAGACATAGCTGGGGTGAAGTAAGAAGTAGTGAGGGAGAAGAAAGGAGGGAGAAAGAGAAGCGAGGGTTGGAGAGAGAGAAGGCGTCGATAGCAATAGTCAAGCTGAAGGTTGACCAAGGCGTTGACCAAAGGGTTGACCAAAGTTTACTTGGGCATTGACTTAGGCATTGACCTAGGTGTTGACGGAGGTTGACCATAGTGTTGACCGGGTGGTTGACCGCTTTGACTAAGCATTGACCAAGGCATTGACCGGAGCTGTTGACTACGAAATTGACCAAGCTGGAGTTGGTATAATCTCGCCAAGCTCTCAGCCTATTCCCTTCCCCTATGGATGTGCACTCACCCCGTGGTACTTGCTGAGACTATTTCTCTTCTTCCTGCATTGAGTCTCTTATGTCCGGTGGTAGGAACTCCGTGTATGTGGTCGTAGAGCTTTGTTGACCAAACCCACACGGGCTGAGTAGGGCTAAAGGCCGTGTCTGACGACTCGACTGACCCGGAGGACACAAACCCTCCCAAGGACCGGTACAAACCGGCAGGCTGCTCGGTGTGGCATAGTAGGCCCAAAATCCGAGTTGTGGGCTGCACAACAAGCTGTATAAGTCTTGAGAGGACTTGATGATTGCGTCGTCCTGTCCGCGACGTTAAAGAATTTTTGAGGAGTTATGGGGGATCTCCTTAAATGCCTCATGATCAACGCTAAAGTCCTGTAGTGACATCTCAGGAATAGGTGTAGGCTAGTGACCATAGTTGACAGGGTTCTGAACGGAGAGAAAGCCAGGTGGGATTGATCGCAGGTGCTGGGCATCTGGGTCTGGATTGTAAAGGACAGTGGTGGCGAAAGCTTCCGTCGGTCGAGGTAACCTAGCTGGATCAAAGGGTCAGGCTCGGTGGTTCTTAGACACTTAGTCAGTCAGTCAAGTGGGTAGGTCTAAGTGGTGAGGAGTGGGACAGTCATTGTCGTGCACCTGACATCATGGACGACTACCCTATGTGCGGCCTGCTCGCGGGGTTCTCCCTCTGG